CCACTCAACCGGATCATCTTCCTATGTTTTTTATCTGCATTGAATTTCATCCCCTTTCATTCTCTTAAACAAGCTAGAAGCTGTTCTCTCACTTCTATCCCATCGATTATCTAATCCCATGGATTTTACCTTCTTAAATATCTCTCTTTAACCATTTCTCCACTGCCTTCTTCCCCCTCTCTCTTCCTCCTCCATTGCTCCCTCCCTCCACCAGACAACTATACTATTAATGGCAATCTTGTTTATTTCCTCCTGTTCACTCTTATGGTCCTTTACTGCATTAGTCAAATGAAAGCCAGAATGATTTCTAACAAGATGTTAATCATGTCAAATTCCTCCTGAAAACACCCTAGTAGCTTACCTTTGGTCTTAAAAAACAAAATCTTCTAAACAAGACCCACAAAGACCAGTCTCTCCTTAGCTCATCACAAACTACTTGTCTCCCTTGCTGTCTTCTCTCCAGCCCTCCCCTTTTTAGCTCCTTGCATATGCCATACTCCTTTCATGCCACGGAGCATTTGTAATACTGTTCCCTCTGCCTAGAACACACTTCATCTCTACTTTCCTTGGTGTGGTTAACTCCTCTTCCTTCAGATTATCAGCTCAATTGCACTTATCAGAGGAAACTTCCCTGTCATATTTTACTATTACCAGTGAAATTGCACTATTGTGTGTTCATATCACAGTGGTAATTTTGTATTTATGGGTTTATTTAATATTGGTTTTTTTAAACCTAAACTTCAAGTTCTCTGAGAATAAGGACCTTTCATTCGGTCTTCCTTGGATTCCCCAATGCAGATCCAAATGCCTGGGACACATAATGGGAACTCAAATAGTTGACAAATAAATGGAAGACGCACAAAAAAGTTAAGTGTCTTACCTGATGTCACACAGCCAGTAATAGAGCTGGATCTGAAGCTCAGTTCAATTGCTAAGAGCACATTTTTACCCTCTGCTTGTATATCTGTTTATTTACTTAATCTTCCTTGTTCCAAAGAGATTTAAAGGACCTTATATAAAATTCAGCAAGAAAACAAATTAAAAAAGGAGACCAGGAGTAGGTTCATAAAATGCAATCGAGCTAACAATATTCAGAAGAGATCACTGAAATATTCCACCCAGGCCCACAACTACTAATCTCATATTTAACATTTTCTATGCTTATTACTAAATCATACATAAAGTATCTAATCAAACCAACAAAAAAATATAAAATCCAGGGATGCAAAACCATAAATAATGTAACCATTTCATGTGAATAAATGTTAGCCTTTCTAAAAAAAGAAAAACCAATGCACCGTAAAATTTAGCACCAACTTCTAACTCAATTAAGAGAACCATGATATAATCTACTTGTAGTTTGGCTGTGTGGTCTATGTACCAATTTCCATTTTTTTTTTCTGTGAAAGAGAGATGATTACAATGACCTTCCTACTGAATTAAATTAGAGTTAACAATTTCAACTATGCATTTGTTTTTATTCCAGGGTGATTCTGGTGGACCTCTGGTTTACGATAATCATGACATCTGGTACGTTGTAGGTATAGTAAGTTGGGGACAATCATGTGCTCTTCCCAAAAAACCTGGAGTCTACACAAGGGTGACTAAATATCGAGACTGGATTGCCTCAAAGACTGGTGTCTAGTGTGGATTGTCCGTGAGTTACATCCATGGAGCTGAAACTTAACATATTGTGGATTATTTATATTCATGTGGTTTGGATAAGAGCTTTTGCTAGACGTCAAGAAACCCTTCAGCCCCAGCCAAATCTAGTACTGTGAGGTGGCCTTTGTGTACATATAGTCAAACTCACTCTCTTCCATGAGAGAAGACGACACAGAAAATCACAGATAGCACCAATTCCTCACTCACCATGGAAACTGCTTGTGATACTTCTTAATAAGGTGAATTACGTATTAGTTCTTTCCCTCAATGGAAGACAGGAACATCATTTTCCACAGGATCTGAAGAGCTACCAGTGCTGCCAAAATCTAACCTCAATAATAACCTGGAGCACCTGGGTTTCTTCTAGTGAAAAACCCAAGAACAATCTTCCCTGAGGATTCAGGGCTTCAACATTCTCGAACTGCTGAATAGACATTCAATGGCCAGAATGGAGAAGCATGGCATTTGCAATATAACTTGAACTCTAACCGGAATTTATAGCTAATAATACAGAGCATTATCATTAGCCGCAAGATGTGACATTTGAAAACTGTTTCAATGTATGTAAACTTGCTGTTAACACTGTGTTACACACTCAAGCACTAGCTTCAGGAAGCAGGTTGTGTTGTTAAGAAGCATTTCTGAATTTATCCTTTATCAACATTTTGCCATCTGGACATAAATTATAGTCAGCCTAGAGAGGAGAAAAAGAAGACTCATGGAAGCGTTTTTCCATGAGTACAAGGAAGATAAGAAGAAGGGTATGAAGGTTAGCAGAGCTGGTTTCACATGAACAGCAATAGGACAGATGCCCTAATTTTTGGTGGAATGAGCTGTCCAGTTATTTATAAATATTTACTTCAGCATATGGTAACTATTATAGTACTTTCAAAAGTCTGAGAGGTCAGAGGTCTATCAGAATATCAGATTGGAAGAGCCGATTTGTATAAAACACAGTGCCTGGCATATACTAGGCACTGAATAAATGTTTGCTATATGGAATTCATTGCTTTGGTAAGCTTTAAGATAAATAAATTCAGTTTTGTCAAATAAGTGAATGGCTTCGGGGCTTAAAGACAGCCCAAAGCCTAGTGGTGGGCATAGTGGTAAGGAGCACAGGCTTTGAACCAGACTGTCCAAGCTCGAACATTACCTCTTGTCACATGTGAGCTATGTGTCTCTTTGTGCAAGTTACTTAACATTTAGTTCTTTTATCTCTACAATGAGAATAAAAATGGTACTACCTCACATGGTTGTTTTGAGAATTAAATGCATTAATACAAGCAGTTGAACAGTGTCTGTAGACAGTAGGCTCTTAATCACTATTAATATGCTTTGGACTCAATAAAACTTACTGTATTTTTAAAAAACTGTCCCTTGCTTTTTTTAAAGCCATGCAATTGGTTTCAAAATACTTTCTTACATTGTAAAAAAAAAGTTAGATGAACTACTGGATTGTCAAAATCACTTTTATGTCTGATTAATACATTTTGAACTATATCTGCTTATAGACAGTCATAGAATGCTAGAATCATCTGTCACCATAGTTGTGACTACAGATATGGTCTGTATTAATCTCCAAATCTCAAATGTGAGACCTAGATTTGTTGCCCAGATTTATCCTAGAAAAATCTGGCCCATCCATTTCTTTGGTGATGGAAAGTTTTGTTAATTTATATGTATGCATGTTTATATGTAAATAAGATAAAACTAAGACATCATGAACACAAAGGGTCATCCATGCACATTTTCCTTTTAAAGAGAAAATGTCATCAAATTTCTGAGTTGATGATTGGTAATAACTAAATACCACCAGAAAAAATAGAGTGAAAACTTAAAATTCCTTAACTTAAACTCCTACAGTCTGCATCTAGCACAGAAAGATCTAATGCATTCTGAGAATATTTAGCCTATTAAAGATGGCCTTGACTGATGATGAACTTCTTAAATATTAAACTACAGAGAAAAACTCTTTCCTCTGTGTAAGTTCTGTACCAATGGATATGTGCTTTTGTGTAATTTTATTTGTTTCATAAGACTGTGATACCTTCTTGTGAATAAGTATCTGTGAAACTATGTATACTGATTAAATATTTCAATGCTTAATTCTATTCAATTCAATGGCATTTTAACAGATGAATAAATACAAAAGTCCATAAGTAAATCTAAGAAATGGAAAAGTAGATTTTTTAAAAAAATTGTTATGTCCTATTTCTAGTTTCATGTTTGACCTATTGAGTTGTTTTATAGAAATCATGTAATATTTTTTACCTCATGTTTTCCATCTGCCAAATGGGACATTAGGCTGGCTACCTCATGGCATTGTTGTGAGGCTTTCCTGATGAATAATAATAAAGTTGAAAAGTAAAAGAATATTTAAAACTTGACCAAAAAAATGCACAGTATAATACTGTAAACCAATACTGGTACAGGTGATGCTACAAATGAATTAAGATTGTAAAAAAGTTTGGTTTCTTTTTAACAGTATTGACATTTTTACTGCTTTGTGAATTTTACAAATATATTTGTGGTTAAAAACATAAGCAAAACAAAAGCTAGGCTTTGCCTTCTGTGTGGTGATGCTACAGTAAGATTCATGTCTTTTCAGAGGAAAAAAAAAAAAAACCCTACAATTTGACGCATTTTAAAATACAGGTCAAATCCATTAGGCTGAAAATAAATAGCACAGCATGTAATCCCTGCAGAATCTTAATGGAATCTTAGATGCCATGAGAACTGAAGGGTTAGTTTATAATGCCAGAACAAGGTTGGACCAAAATTTTTGCCAATATAGTTAACCATCTCTTAATGAAATCTGTGTGATTCAATAACAACAACAAAAATATATTAACAGGAATCTACCCTTTCCACTGAATAAACTTATTTCTTTGTTAATATGTTTGACAGAGAGGAGAGGTATGTGAGGCATTCTTTCGTGCAATCATGGAAATGAAAAATAAATTTGTTACAAATGTTTGAAATTCATGCTAGAATCATAGCTGTTAGGTGCTTCCCAACTCTAAGAGATTATCTACATCGACCTCTTTTTTTGACTGATACAAAACCAATGCCAAGAGAATGTTTACGAGGTTATATAGTGAGTTATAACCAATGTAGCAACAGAATAGAGTTGCCCTAGTATCCAGTCTAGTTTTTTCTCCACTACTCTTACCTGAGTTATGCATGTTCAGTAGCCAGTTTTCATCGTAGACCTAGAAATCACTGAAATTGACTACTGCCAAACCAGTTTCTCCCTGCAAAAGAAAATACGAGGTAAGCTAAACCCACATGGTATTCAGCAAAGTATGTGGTTCTACCAAACCAGTTTTACCATTAAGACAACAACCCACTCAAAACTATACTCAACTATGCCTAAGGAAATGCAGAATGAATTTAATGTAGGCAAGTCTACTAAGCTAGTTAAGCTAGCAGGTCATAATGCTCTATAGAAAGTTTAGCCCCTAAATTCATTAAAGCCTTGATATGGTACAAATAAAAAATCCATATATTTTAAAATAAGGAGCAGCAAAAGATTGTGAACTTTATTAAAATACCAAATGTTTGTCTTTCTCTTTGTTCTTTTTAAATGCCTCATTAAAGAATATGTTTTATAAACAAAGCTACAGAAGCCCACGAAAATGCAGAAAATTTAAAAAGTTTTGTAAATGCTTACAATGAACATTCTTTTACAGGTTCCAATATTTGCCTTGCCTTGAAGTTTTAACTATGACTAATAAAAAAGGAGAAAAATGCAATCATTTCACACAATTGAAAAGAAATACATCTTTGGCCCACTGTCTTCAAGCTGTCAAATGCAAAATTAACCTATCTTCCCCATAATGCTACTGTGTGGCTTTCTTGTTGCATAATAAAGTCTAAAAGTCAGAGAATGTTTAAAATCTGCTCCAAAAGTGCAGATCATTGTAAGCCGATTTCAACACAGGAAATGCCACACACTTGTTAAAATTGTAAAGAGGTTTTTATAGAGTGTTAGCGTTTTTTTTTTTTTTTTTATCAATAGTATCACTTTGTTATTTTGCAGATACTGCTGTTTGGTTGAAATTATATTTAACATTTTCTCATGAGAAACATACAGCTTCTGCAGTTAATATTAATCTATTGAAAAAAAA